AGGTTGAGGACCCTCCGGGCTGGTGACAGGCATTTGCAGTGTAATTATTAGGGGCCTAGAGAATTACCTACTTACCTAGGGTTCAGGGCTTAGGGTTTAGGGTTTTAGGGTTTAGTGTTTAGGGGTTTTAGAGTTTAGGGTTTTAGAGTTTAGGGTTTAGGCTTTAGGAGCCTAAATAATTACCTACACTATTTTTTTTTGGGGGGGGGTTCCTTATTATAACTATAGTATTATGGGCCCTTCGGGATAGAGCATTACCTATACTTTTTTGGGAGGGGGGTTCCTTATTATAACTATAGTATAATGGGCCCCCCAAACCCTATTCTAATGTATTAAGGCCCCTACATTATTAGGGATAGGGTATTACTTGAGCAGGTTTCGGGATTGGGCTTCGGGTGCAGGTTCACGTAGTAGGAGTTTAGGGCTTTGGGGGCTGTACCTGGTTGAGGATGTAGAGTCTGGCTGTTTAGGGGTTTAGGGTTTAGGGTTTAGGGTTGAGGATGTAGAGTCTGGCACTTTGGGGTTTGGGGTTTCGGCCCAGGGCTGTTTACAATGGCTCTGGCTATGGTGAATATCGCTGTACTCAAATCGTGGCTAGAGTTTGTCTTTACGACAACCATACCTCAAGTCTACTGATCGCCGATAGCCCCATTACATGTCCCTGTTATTCTCGCTAGACTCACTCGACCTGCAGCTGGGGATTATTAATGCAAAATGGGTAGTTCTCTAAATTAGGGTCCCTGTTTGGGTCCCAAATATAGTACGGCACCCTTATAAACGGACCCTAAAAGGGACCCAAGTTTAGAGAACTACCCAAATAACTCTTTCAGGATGTGCTGGACCTGCTTGCTCAAGAGCTTCCACAGTCTCTGGATCCAACATAAGCACCTATGAAAAGTTAGGATATGGTTTGGGGGCCCATTATACTATAATTATAATAAGGAACCCCCAAGATCTCATCCCTAAACCCTAAACCCTAATCCCTAATCTGCAAGCGGAGATCTCGAAGCCCCTAAACCGCGCAGCCACTGAAAACGTCCCTTCAGCGAATCTGGGCCGATGCTCTACACTAGAGCTTTTATGGGGTTTAAGTATTTTGGGGGGCTCCTTATTATAGTTTTAGTATAGTATGCCCCAAAACCCTATTCTATCTATAAAGGCGCCTAAAATTTAAGCTTATAGACCTTTCGACTAGGGTGTGATCTAAGGCAGTGTATGCAGCCGTGGCTGAGTTGTTCAGGCTTGAGAAAGTTGAGGCTGGGGCGAGTCACGGGGGATCCCCGCGTGTCCTCTCTTTTCGAGGTAACCAAACCTAACTAAGTTCCTTAGCAAGAACACTCGTTGTGATGCCCCAGGTTTGAACAAAAAGCGCATCGCCTACTTCCACTTCACGAAGGCCCGCAGCCGCGCAGAATCTGCCCCCCCCCCCCCCCCCCCCC